TTATTGTTTGTGAAACACAGGGGTAGGTGCAAAAGGAATCTGAAGTTTCAAAAATATAAAATTTTTTCCTTTTTCAAAAAAAAGACCGCTTTTTCCACAAACATTTTAAGAACCTCAATCTGCCCACTTTTGGAAGGTTTTTTTAAAACCGGTTTTACCTTCTGGGCGACACAAACCTTTACCTCCATTTTTGACCTTAATTTTATTAACAGTATTTTTGATTGTCCTTTCCTTCCTTAGTCTTCCAAACCTTTTGGACGCAAAAAAAAAAAAACTTTTTTGCATTTTTTCCCCCAATAAACGAATGTTGTTTTTAAAAAAAAAAACAAACCGGCGTTAAAAAAAACGGAACCTTTTCGCACGCTATCAAAGCAGTTGAGCGTTTGCGATTGTTTTTCCTGTCAGATTTGACGTCAAAAATCCAAACAAAAACGGGATTCATTTAAAATTAAAAACTACCCAAACAAGAATCACACTTACAAAACACCTTTACGGCAAAAATGATTACATTTCCAGGCAGACTGTAGAATTCAACCTGCTTTTGGGACAAGTTTATATGACTACTTGAACACAAGCTAAAAAGTAATACCTTCTGGAAATACCGTTTAATACTTTTTAATAGCCTTAATTTTCGCTAAATTGATTTATCAACTTTTAATACTTTTTAAGACCCCGCGGACCCCCTGTAACAGCTTTGATTGTTTAAAGATTTCTATCATTGCTGCCCTCTGCGGAGGTGAAAGAGACTTTTATGTGGATCATGTTTACTGAAATCAATCAGGATAATGAAATCTCCTCCATGCAAACTATAAAATGTCTAAATATATTGAAGAGTATACAAGGCTTATGCATGCATCACTCCCTGTGGAGTGGGAGCTGTAAGATATTGTAATTTTGATGCAGGGAAATATTAATCCACGCCCCGCTGAGCGTACCAGCCTCCAGGAAGACAGCGGAAAAATCCAGGGGCCAGAGTCTCAGGAAGCCATCCTCAGAACCTGTGGCGCAAAATGATGAGGACACACTGATGCTGTTGATGGCAATGCCTGGACCTGAAACACAAACACACACAAAATGATGACATTAAAGGCTGTTCCCCCTCTACCCAACCCCTGTTTTAAAGGTCTCCTATTATACTATTTTTAGGCATATATTATAGGTCTCAGATACATAAAAAACATGTCTAGGAAGTGTTTTGTTTAAAATAACAAACCGATCACCCATTTTAGCCATGCCTCATATCCCTCTATTTCAGCCCTGTTAGAGAAGTGCTGATTTATTTAAAAAAAATAAATAAATACCGCAACGTTTCTGATAGGGCCGTGGGCGTAAAGCCAGCCCACATTTCCGATATTACGTCATATCGGCAGTAAATCTGGATCAGCTCCGTTGTAACCCCGTTTTTAGGGATGTGGGTAAGGAGGAAAAGAGAGGGGTTTTTTTTTCCGGATACTTTGTGAGTCTCCTGTCACACCGGGGACTAGGACTGTCCCGAATACCATTTTTCGGGCTCCGGGTATTCGGTAGTAATCAGCAGCGAATATTCGGCCCGCGCGGGGGCACAAAAAGTGCATTTTGCATGATACTGTAGGTCCCCTTTAACCCTTATGTTGTGTTCGGGTCTCCCGTGACCCGTTTCAAGTTAAAATTATATAATAACTACACTCTTTTTTTTCATCGGAACAAGGCTTCATGATATCCTCCAAAACAGATATATAAACACTACAAAACAGATTTTAACCATTTTTGCCAAGTCTGAAGGTCTCTAAAAAAGTGTATAATTTGGTGTTCGGGTCTGGAGAGACCCAGCAGAATTGTTTTGGGTGACTCAAGGTCAAATTTGGCCCAATCAAGATTCATCTTTGACTTTAGACCCCCCAGCCCCACCCCCTTCATCAACTGTAACAATAATTTTTCGCAACATGCACCGTCCCCCCCCCCTCGAGACTCGCCAACGGACGACCACCANACCCTTTCCACACATTTTAAGACCTCATCGCCACTTAGAGTTTTAACCGGTTACCTTGGCGACACACTTTACCTCACATTGACTATATACAGTACTGATTGTCCAATCAGTACTGTATATAGTCAATGTGAGGTAAAGTGTGTCGCCAAGGTAACCGGTTAAAACTCTAAGTGGCGATGAGGTCTTAAAATGTGTGGAAAGGGTCTTAAAAAAGGTCTTAAAATGAATTACATTTGACTTCAGGATTCCTGCATATACCCTGTGTTAACATAAACCTATAATAATGTCTGAGATAACTTGAAAATGAAACACAGTTTTGGAGATTTGCTACATTATTACATCAAAATTGGATCATTCTGTGAAGCGACCTTCCTAACTATGAGATGTATATGTGCTTCCTCACACATGGCCTTGTCTTCCAGAGCATGAAGGACCTGTGAGCCTGGTGTCAGTCTCTTCTGACAGCCTTCAGGTGCTGGCAGCCACCTCCACCGGTAACCTGGGTTTCCTCGATGTGAGCAGCCGCGGTTACAACACGCTGATGAGGTCACACACTGACACGGTGCTCGGCTTCAGCGTGGATGGCATCCGCCGGCATCTCACCTCAGCCTCCTCCGACGGCACCGTGCGCATTTGGAACATGGATTCCTTGCATCAGGTCAATAAATACCACATTTAAGAGTTTTCAGAACAAATGTTCAACTAATAATCAGCTCCTACTGTTTGAATGTTCTGATTATAATCATTCAACATGGATTTCAATGTGTTGAACTAGACAATAGGTAAAAATAACAAATACAATAAAAAGGTGGCATTTGGCTTTATGTCAGCTGTCCTTTCTGTGTTGAAGCAAAGCTATGCCGTGGTCGATGTTTTTTTCCTGTCAGACTGTTTTGTGCTAAGTCTTCTGCATTTCTTGGCAAAACTGAGCATCAAACTCTCAGTTTTGATAAATATGGGGAATTTTGAAGATCTTTTTATTTTACTATACACTCCTGTCTTACCTGTGGTAAACTAAACCACGAAGCACATTTTTGGGTTTAACTTATTTAGGTTATATCAAATATTGTAAAGGTTTTCTTTGAAGGCGCTCGACAAATGAGTATAATTAAACCTCCTTTCCCCCTGCTTTCGTTACCATTGGTTTACCTTTACCTAACTGAATGTCTGTTGTCTCCTGTGCTTAGTTGTATGATTTCGCGTCAGAGGACAGCCCCTGCTCGGTGGCTTTCCATCCCAGCGAGCAGGTCTTCTCTTGTGGCTTCAACTCCGGCATCGTAAGAGTCTTCGACATCTCCGCTGCCAAGCTGCTGGCTGAACACAAGTACGTCTGAACTAACGTCAAAGCTCGAGCTCCCCCACTGAGAGCACTTCTTTATCTGGGATTCTAAAAGCTTGTGTGGGCGGCGTAACTATGATATTGTATGGCAAGTGAAAATACATCAGATGCACCTCATGCACTTACAATTCAAACAAGGATGTTTTTGTGGGTTTGTTGCGATGCATTATAGAAAAGCTTTTAGACGCTGTCCTTCGAGAGAGAGCGTAATGACTGCTTTTATTCTCATGTCCTTTCTGTTTTTTCTTTGTTCACAACAATAAAATACAGGCAGCACAGAGGTGAAGTGGTGGGTCTGGCCTTCTCACCGGACGGGGAGTTCATGTACAGCGCTGACTCTCAGGGCTCTCTGGCACTTTACAACGCCACAGAGGAAGACCTCAACGTGATCAGAGTTGTGTGTATGTATGCCCACTGTTAGAGCCAGTCTTTGTTTTGTAAAAGTGGCCAAATATGTTCACCTAATTGTGACCTCTGTAGTCAAGGAAGTATAAAAGACAACATTTCCCACAGTGCCAGACTCTTAAGAGACACAGACATGGGCAACTTGTGTGAAAAACGCCGTTGAGGAAGCTGCGACACACACACACAACACACCTCAGTTAGATTCCATAATTACAATCATTCGAAATCTCACAATGGAAACAACACTTTGAAATAGAACACACACTTTCTGATATGTTGTGTATTATCAATTGATATTGCGAGCTTCTCCATCACCAGTTTGAATCACAGTTTATCAGGCAGCCATGTTCAGCATCACTGTTGTGTGATTCTCTCTGTTCCTGATTGGCTAGGTAATGTGGTGGCTCGAGGCACCGAGCACGCTCCAGACGCTCTCGCTGTGAGTAGCGACAGCTGCTGTCTGGCTTTCATCGGCCCCTCGGAGTACATCGTCACCATCGCTGACTCGCGCTCTCTGGATGAGGTACCTTACACAACGTCGGCATCACACCATTTGTCCCAACGCCCATTACATTAAGATCTGGTTCAGTTGTGAAGGAATGGTGAGGGAGCATCATCCTTACCTAAAACTAGAGCTTTAGAACAGCTCACTCTAAGTTTGGCAGAGAGCGATGTTACGGGGATGTGTGAAAGCTGGCTAACTAGCTTACCTTTTCTTTAAATCCTTACGTCAGCTATAACTTACTCTTTGTAGTTTATTTTCATAGGAATATTGTTACAGTCTATCATATCTCATCATTGTAAGGGAAACTTCTGCAGCAATGGAGAGTCAGGACTCAGAGAGACACGAGGAGAGTTGGAGCTTTGATGTCAAACAATGATGTTTATTACAAGTCAAACGGCCGGAGAATTCATATCACAAGTCACAGCAGCAAAAGGTTCTGACTGCACGGGTGGGTTGTCATGTCAATTCTGATCAGCCTATCTCTCGATAGACCTTTTAACTAGTTTACAGAGAGTTAATGAGCATATTGGGGGAGGCGTAAACATCTGTGGAGCTTAGAAAGCCAGCGTTCCCACAGCCGTAAACCATTTCGTGACCGAGAGTTGAACTGGTTTATCAAGATAGCTGGAGCCTCCCATTCCTTAAGAGAGATAACAGAGCCAGGGTTTGGTCGTAAACGTCAACAGGCAATAAGGTTAAATATCTTGGGGCACCACGTGTCACTGGAAAATTAACTTTTGGAATTTTTTCAAGTTTTTTCAGTCACCTGTACAGAGAGACACAAATATACACATACAAATGATATAAATAAGGGTACCAAAAAGAGAAAATACGACGTGGTTCCTTGCCCACCCCATCCCTCCTTCCCTTCCACATAACAACTACATGTGGCTTGTTTGCAATCGTCATCTGTTCATACACATTTGAGCATAACAATTCATAATCCAAACGGTTCATCTAAAGTATTTTTTGCATTTAAATTAACCTGTTCTTTGAGTCATATAGAAAAAGAACACTCAGTTGTTTCTGTATACACCATACATAAAATGATTAACCAATATGTAATATATCCGACAACTTATAATGTTAATATCTCCTGAAATGTGGAGGTGATGTTGTTGTGAGTTCCTCTGTCTTACTCTTCCTGTGTCCCCCGTCCACCTCCCTCTAGTTGCTCCATGTAGATGTGAGTATTTTGGACGTGCAGAGCCCCCGGCTGGATTCTGCTCTGAGGGTCTGCTTCTCTCCGGCCTCCACTGAACACTTGTTGGTCGCCACATCTTCTAACAAGATCCTCTGGGTCAGCACCAAGACAGGCCGCCTGCTCCGAGAGGTAACTTTTCTAACCCTTGACACATTAGCAGAACATGTGTTTGATCACGGTAAATAAACTCCATGCTGCAACCAACCAGAATACTTACACATCACTCCTATTCTTACTTCTCTTCACTGTCTCCCAGTAAAACTAAATCACTCTTAAAATACTTTATGTCTACAAATGGATTAGCTGCTTCCTAAGGTGTTTATTTATATGTGACCCGCTCTATCGAAATCAGTCGGAAGTCGTAACGGCTCATTTCAAAATAAACGTGGATTTGCGTAAAAAACTAGTTTTTCGGGGTTCGGGTGTTTTGTTTGATTTTAAATAAACAAAGTCTTGGCTTTCAGAATATGAAACTTTTATTTCCAAAATCACACGATAAATACATGTTTGAAGCTCGTTAAGGGAAGATGACAGCTCTCACTCGCCACTCTGCTGTTCCGCAGCGCCGCTCCCCCTCCCTCCGGCTGCAATTATGAATGTAAGCCGTATAGTAATCATAGATAACACGGCAGGGTCCGTTACAGTTTGTTTTCATCTGATTTCAAATAAACAAAGTCTTGGCTTTCAGAATATTAAACTTGTTTCGGCAAATTCAGATGATGAATTCAACTTTGAAGCTTGTAACGGCATAATTACAAGCGGAGAACGGAGTAACTTGACGTCACAGAAGANAATGCTCTCCGCAGACCCATTCTCAGCAGTTATAAACCTTTTTCTTACTCAATATCAAGCCACACTTATTGTTTTTACTTCGGCTGTGAGTGTTTGTGTGTGCTTAGGATGAGTTTAGCTTGTCCTCGCTGTATCGCCGACCCGGAAACCTGTCCGCCCCTCGCAGCAACGAGCCTCGCAACGTCCCGACCAATCAGAGCACACTGGGCTCACAGGGAGGGGTGGGGCAGGAGCTCCAACAAGCCGTTTAGGACAGAGAGTGAATACCTGGTGAATACACATACTATACAGAGATGCTGTATGTGAAACCAATGTGATTTTGGAACATTGCACAATTTAAATCTATTCTAGTAGACCTCAGCAATGGAAATATGATCAGTAGAAATGGCCATGACATGGGACCTTTAAAACTGTCTAAAAAGTCATTTAATTTGCATGTAACCAATGACAGCAGCCTTCTTTACCTGTCACAATGAATGGAAAGTGCATATATTGAACCAGATGTCACGCTCACATGCAGATTGACACATTAGCACCGACAAGTCACTGCAACCGTTAGTGTTAAAAGGACAAAATGCCCCTGAAAGGCTTTTAGTATGATTGGAGTCTATTGCAGGCCTAAATGCCACTATCACATTTCCCATGTCAGCCCGACAAACACATTAACCAGTCAGTTGTGTGTAAGGTCTCCGTGACCCCAAACCTGAATTCTTCTCTTTACTTTTTCACTACATCCCAGGCTTTCTTGCTAAGTAGTAGGTCCCTCTTAAACTGCCCCTCGGCCTTATCTCACAAGCCTTTTTTTTGCTCTTTATATTCGTAAAGTGGAAATAATTATTTCTGTCACACCATCAATCGTCATTTTTCTTTCTTTCAATGTATGCCTCTCAGTTTTACTGTTTGTCTCCCCTCTGATTCTGAGAACTAGTAAACTACTTAGGATTTAGCTCTAAATCTCTCTCTCTTTTTCTCTCCCTACCATCCTCAGTCTATCTCCCAGCCTCTCTCTCACTCTTTTTGAGGATAAAGGGATTAATATGACATTCCTGCCAGATAATAAGAGAGGACAAAGCTGGTCACATGACCCCACCCCCCAAAAAGTTTCCACTGCCCTGCTGTAAACACACACACACCATCAACCATCAGGTTTGGTTGATGTGTGCTGCCTTTATTTGTCCAACACTTCAGGTTTCTGGTCAAACATACACCAAGTGTTATTGAAACTCATATATAATAGATTTTCATAAGGGAAAAACGGAACAGGGAACCATGTCGAATGCTGAAGTGAATCCAATATAGATTGGAGTGTTGTCTGTACATAAGCTGCCACCAGCTCCTTTGTGTTTCTGATGGATATACCTTGTAAAGCCAGGACTCTCATTGTTCAAGCTGTAATTGAAAGAGTCCTGCTGAGGGTTTTGTGAAAGCTGTTAGTTAAGCTGCGCGTGTGTGTGCTGTGTGTTGTGTGTGTCTGAGGTTGAGTGAGTATGGTAGTAATAGTAAGTGTCGTACTATATAAGTTTAGGCAGCCCTGTGTTGTACTGTATGATAATCTCCTGGCCATGTGTGTGACCAGCAGATAACTGAGCATCACAAGGACCAGCTGGTCACTAGAAAGTGCAAACTTAACCGTCGCTGGAAAGGGTATACACCAAAGTGTGTATTTTCAGTTAATTATGAGGAGGTTATTTTGATCGTAATATTATAATCATGTAACTCTTTGAGTGCAGGCTGGTCCTCAGATTCAGTGGCGTAACAAGGTTGTGATTGGCCCCGGTGCAAATATGTTTTTGGCCCCCCCAACTCAGCGCTGCTTGCTCTTTTTTTTCTCTCTCTCTCTCTCTCTCTCTCTCTCTCTCTCTCTCTCTCTCTCTCTCTCTCTCTCTCTCTCTCTCTCTCTCTCTCTCTCTCTCCACTTTCAAAATATATTTAAAACTCATAACAAACAAACAAAATTCCCAAAGTTGTCAAAGTTGAAATTAACTTATTAAATAAACGAAACGAAAAATATAGCCTACTTATGCAACATTTAATCTGGACTTGAAATGATTCTGATTAGGTCTAGCCCACATGCATGGCGAATAAACGGATCGTGTATGCACACCGCTTCGGCATTATAAGCGCTCTCTCTCTCTTTCTAACACACACACACACACACGCACACGCACACGGTGCTGCCCCTCACACACACACGGTGCTGCCCCTCACACACACACGGTGCTGCCCCTCACACACACAGGCTTCAAATCAAGTTGCATAAATGCTTGAGCTACGTCATTGCAAACAAGCAGACAGTGCTGCTTCTCTCCCTCTCCCACACACACACACACACACACACACACACACACACACACACACACACACACACACACACACACACACACACACACACACACGGCGATGCCCCTGACACACAGGCTGTTTTCGTCATTATTACAACAAATACACACTTGCAACTGATAACACTGGCAATGATTTTATATTTATTAGACTATTAAAAAAAAAAATCATGCTCCAAATAAGTGGGGGCTCCAAATAAGTGGGGGTACGGCGATCCCCGGCGTCCAACAACCACTACACCACTGCCCACATCCCTAAAAACGGAGGCACGACGGAGCTGATCCAGATTTACTGCCGATATGACGTAATATCGGAAACGTTTTTCTTGAGTTTTTGTTACTTTGTCTAAGATCTGTGCTTGTGCTCTCTCTGTAGGTCTCTGCTCTGGCTTTTAATGGCAACACAACACTGCTGGCCTCAGCACAAACCGGCAGCCACAGTGTAGTCAGAGTGTGGGATTACCATAAGGGAAAGTGCCTGGCCATGTCCAGGATTCATGCTCATTCATTGTCCTCTCTGAGGTACCCAACTGCATAATATACTGTACTCTGTCACACACACCCACAGATATCTTTCATTATCAATGAGCTTTAAGCAGTAGAGAGGCGAGGCCCATCTACTTCCGACCCATGGGACCTTATTTCGGAAAAAGTATGTATTGAAGTCAAGATTATCTTTCGATCCCGTTTGAATTGTGCCATGAATTACACATATGATGTTTGTCCATCTTAAATAATAATTTCAATTTCAAAAAAGTCACAGTTTGTCGTAAAACTGTTGAAATATAAGACTATGAAAAATACGCAACTAGAAAGACTACAATTCCCAGAATCCCGGTCCCGCATGCTGGCTCTTACGGAACCGAGTAACTCCCCTTGTGTGTATGTACAGCTCTCAACATGCCCAGACTCAGGGGCGCCGTAAAGGGGTGAAAAGTTAGGACGATTCTAAGGGCCCGTGACTGACGGGGTCCCAAATGTTTAGAACATTAAGAAAAAAAAATGTAAGTAACCTTTCATCAATCCTCAATAATTAACANGAAAGAAGTGAAATGTGCCAACGTGACGGCCGTCTTGGTGTGTGGTGCGAGACGGGAGATGTAGTTCATTGAGCGGTTTCACACAAAAAAAAAGTGTTACTTCACAGTTTTACGACACATTTTTATTTTTTTGACTTGCAAAATGATCTTTTAAATTGACAAACATCATATGTGTCATTCGTGGCAAAATTTTCTCCATTGACTTCAATACATACTTTTTCCGAAATAAGGTCCACCGGAGAGGGAGGGACTTCGCCTCTCTATGGAGACTCTTGGATGCCATTTATTTCCTAAAGAATGACCTCATATCTCAAAATAATGACTAAGTCTATAATGAGAAACTTTCTCAAAATATTGACTTGTTCATCTCAAAATGAAAACTCAGTAGCTCAAAAATAACAACCTGTCTGTATACAAATAATGACCAGGAGTTCTCAAGAGACTGTCAATGTCATCATTTAGAGAAGGTCTCTCAATGTGAGTCACTGTTATGCAAAAATAGACCATTATTTGCAAAACATTTCTTACCATACATACAAAGTTTATGCTAAGTTACTAATGTTGTCTTTTTTGCTATTTCCCCTTTTCGAAGCTTCTCATACAGCGGTGGTATTCTCTGTGGAGTGGGTAAAGACAGGCACAATAAAACTGTAAGCGCTACAAATGTAAATTTCTCACATAAAAATGTAAATTTCTCACATAAAAATTCAGTTTTTCTAATATATGTACAAGTGTGATGAGCTTTAGCTGAGCGTAATCTGAGGAGAGCCAGGGGTATCATTAGATCTTGATGAAAAAATGCTAAGCAACACTTTATATCATTACTAAGGCTAAAAAATGTTTTAAATGACAAGTTATTCTCTTAATAAGAATCAAGTGACAAAGCTGTGAGCTGACTGTCTGTGTCTGTGTTTGTAGATGGTGGTCGTCTGGAACACTATGAACGTTAGTAAAGGTGGAGAAGTGAGCATTATAGCCAAAGCTCACACAGATGTGGACATACACACCATGAAGGTGGCCTTCTTTGATGATACAAGGTACCCTCTATTTAGATGTGTTGTTAGTGTACTTGATTGCATGTTGCATTTCTGTGCATATATCAACTTCTCTGTTAAGATTCAACTGCTCTGCCCCATTTAATTATGTCATGACAGCCAATGGTCCACATCTTACACATATAGAGGATCATGTCATGTCAGAATGCTGCAGCGAATAATAATAAGACATTTATTTTTTATTATTATTACTACATGTATAGAATGAGAAGGTCTATTAATTTCATTTCATTTCAGTTCAAACCTTTATTTAGACAGATTGGTCCCTTGAGATCATCGATCTCATTTACAAGGGAGACCTGCATCATTTAGTTCCACATGAAACATAAAAACAACATACAAACAAACAACAGAGGATATCATATTTACATATTCAACGTTTACAAATACCCAGAGTGTCAGAAAGCATTTCATTTAGACGTGCCTTAAATACATTCAGAGAAATAAAAATGCTCAATTTCAATTTTGCCTGTAGACTGTTCCAAGCAAGTGGAGCTGCGCACATAAAAGCTGTCTTACCTAAGACAGTCCTTACTCTTGGCACATCTAACAAGACTATATCCTGCGATCGCAGACAATAGCTGCTTGCAACTNTTCCCCGGGAAACAGTTTCTCCAATACAATACGCACAAACGCAAAACTACACACACGTATACACACACACTCGCACACACACACTCGCGAGCTTCCCCCAGACCAGTAATCCAAACGAAAATATCTACCCTCCGGACTATTTTGATCATTTGCTAATAATCAATCAGATCGATGGATTCCAGAGAAGAGAAAACTTTGAAGGCCTTTTTCTCAAAATGATGACTCATCATTATATAATGTGACATATTTAGCTTAATATTTGGAGTACAAAAACAATCCTGATATCATTAGAAAGCTATCTCCTCTTTCCAACAGTGTATACAACTCAAAATGTGTCTTCCGGTCAGTGCGACTGATTTCGATGGAGCAGGTCACATATACACCAGACAGATTATTATATATAAATAAGGACACATTTATAAAACCCTATGATGCCTTCTGTCATTATTCAGTCTTACTCTAACATTCTCTACCACATGGCAGGTCTTTAAAAAACTGAATTTCCCCCTAGGGGGATTAATAAAGTTTAATCTTCTTCTTATCTTCATCTTTTACAACATTGTCTGCAGGCTTTAAGTTTAATTTGTTTTATAAAGGGCCAACTTTAATTACTTTTGGGTCAGTATTTGTATTTCTCCTTTTTAATCAAAAATGCGTCGTAATGGCTTATTCAGCGTGTCCGCGGGGTCTTAAAAAGTATTAAAAGTTGATCAATCAATTTAGCGAAAATGAAGGCTTATCTTATAAAAATTTGTCATGTTTCATCATGGCAAATGTATTTATTAATTTATTCAACAACGTGTTATATAAATAAACGTAATTCTATGTTATGTTAAGTACTACTGTACAAATCAATACGGGACTTGTTGAGAGGGTCTGAGAGGTAATTACCTGAAAGTACTTTCATGCTGTGTCTGCTGTAGGAAATGTGTAAAATATGTCTGTAAATAGTGTAGACCAACGTCAGTGAGAGTGTTAATATGTACACTTCTGTTCCTACGCAATCATGTTATTCTTTTTCAAACCAGTGTTTGTTTGTGACTGTCTTTCTGTCCCGACAGGTGTCCAAGGTGCACAAACACCAGTGCTCGTCCCTGGCTGTGAGTGAGGACAGTCGGTTCCTGCTGACGGCGGGACACAATGCTGTCAAAGTGTGGGATTACAACATGCAGCTCCATATAAACTCACAGGTCGTTAAACATTTGATAGTTTACGATAAGTATTAGTCACTGGAAAATAAACTACAGATTCTGTTGTATTTTAAACAAACAATACAAATGATTTGAACAATGTAATGATGTATCTGTTGCATTCAAGTACATTGTCTTAATTGTGATTGATCAGTGGGAGTATTAGTGTTTCATGTTGTTTAATAATTATCTAAAAGGTGTGTTTCTTTCACCCAGATGTTTATCGGCCACAGTCAGCCAATCCGCCAGGTGGGCTTCACCCCCGACCAACTGGGCGTGGTCTCAGTGGGAGACGCCATCTTCCTTTGGGACTTCCTGGCACTTCCTGTCGACTCTTTGACTGACAGCCGGTAGTAATCCCTGTAGCATGTTTTTATCTGTGTGTTACACCGTGTAGTTTTATTGGCAGAATATCTGAAACCCTCTGTCCTCACTCACAGTTCACCTCTGGTAATAAGACACACCCCTGCTCCTAAATCAGGTAATTTCATTGAAATGTTGCATTAATGCTACAATAAAATCAGATTAAATGGATTTCAATTGTTTGTTGTGATACATTGTTTGTCTTGTGTTTTCATGTCCTAGCTCAACCACACACTGAAGTGAATGGAGTTCGGTTGTCCAATGGGATGCCTCGACGGACGGCTCCTCTTCCCTCCTCTCCGCCACCACGACTCGACATCAGCACCCTCGACCAAGTTGACCAGGAGGGCGAGTTTTTTTTTCTCTATTTTTAAAATGACCTTCAAACACACCCTATCTACTGTTATCTGTATGCTTAGCTTTGAAAGCACACTCACTCGTAGCTTCATCTTGCTAAATTCTGTCCAGTAGCACAAGAACAAAATAAGAAAAATCTACCTTAGCAAAATGATCCTCTTAAATGAGTAGATTTGTAACTATTCATTAAACCCTAATCTTGAAATATCACTCACAACACTTATTGTGTTTCCTTGTGTGCTTCTTGAATGTCATTTCTAAAATGCCAATATGGATTTGAAAAACTGTTCAATTGTAACTGCCATTTATGAAGCTCTTCAGAAGTTGACAAAAGCACTTTCCTTTGATACGTCATTATGAGGGATTCAAACACTGTTTACTTCTTTTTACCTGAAGGAGGAAAAGGTTGAACCAAATGATTGTTTTGTTCTTTCAGGATTATTCACGGCTTGCCTTTCCGGCTCCTATATGAGTTATTTTTTAAAGACTTGAATTATTTTCATGAGCTTGTTGATTTTATTCGCATATACAATGAAGTATGCCTGCTGACGTAATGTATAGATATACAACAAAATGTCTAATGAAATCTCCAGTTTAAAAACAAATGTCTCATGCCATGCAACACACTTCTTTTAGAAACACCAACATTTACTCACAACACATGTTTCAAGAGTGCATGTGTTGCTATACTTGGTCAATGAGCTATGATAATGATCATTTATTTTAACCCTGAGTCGTCGTTTCTCACCTGTTTCCCTCCTGCAGTTTTGGGCTCCTTGTCGATATGTGATGACCCCCCAACAGTCCCCCCCGCTTCAGTTGCAGACCCTTCCTCTGACCCCAGACCTCCATCCTCCTTCCTCAGAGTCACAGAGCTGACCCACACATCTCCACTCAACTCAAGTCTTACGGAAGCTGGTAAAGGGCCTCATTGCATTGTTCTGCATTAAAGCTAGGACCTAGCACGGCTTAGCACAGCTTAGTTTGGCCTTGGTAGGCCAGGCTCACTTTAAGCTGCGTTTCCATTATAGTTTAGTAACTGGGGTAGTAACTATAGTAACGCAGTGTAGGCGGGGCCTATGGGGAGCTTCCATTTAAAGTGATGTTTAAAACTCAGTTAATGGGGCTCATTCACTGGCGCTTCCAAAAACAACAACCAACATAATTATTACATTCAAATGAAGTACATTATTCAAGTTTACATTAACTTTGGATAATAACACGGGAGAAATGAGCGGAAGCCCTCTCTCCCTCTCTCTCCTGACAGCCCGTCAGTATCGTCTCATGCAGCTCGCTGATCCAGTAATGAGTGACCCGACAGTGAAGAATAAATATATGTATAACTAGTTTAGCTTGTTCCAGAGGTAGATCAAATAGCGAAGTGTGTTAGGTCTAACTCTTAGTGTGTGTTGCTCCGCTCACCGGTCCGTCACAGCGGGCGGAGCTGCAGGATTTCTGCTTCACACACGTTGCATACCGCTATTTTACTGTCTTTTTCGGACACCTTAAAATACTGCCAGACCGGTGAAGCCATTTTGGCGAGCTTGTTTTGCCGCGCACGGAGAAAAGTGTCATGTTATCGGCTCTTTTGATCGGCCTTTATAGAGAGCACCGATCGATCGGCAGAGAGTGAATATCGGCCGATAACGATCGGCGGCCGATCGATCGGAGCATCCCTACTAACTACCAAAGCTTCACTTCTTTCTGCAATTAGTTTTTCTTCTTAATGGCACAATTGTCCTTTCTCAAATGTATTTATCTCTAATTATGTGACATTCCCATATAGTTGAGTTGAAAGGAAAGAAGCCAGTACGTCCTGATTGTTACAGGCACTTTATTCCACGCTTCAAGACCTCCACTCTGGATCAGGTAGAGAGCACTTTGTATAATGACAGCAGTGATTTGATGTATTGGTTTGTTTGCTGTCCTGTCTTAATGTCCTCTCTGATCCAGGCTGCAGTGGCTCCTCAGGCAGGAGAAGAGGGCATAAAGCTAAAAGCAGTCATCGGCTATAATGGAAACGGCCGTAGCAACATGGTGTGGAGCCCTGACCGAGGTTATTATAATATACTATTATATTAAAAGTAAAATCAAAAACTGTGAGGAATCGGTCCGTCAAATCCAAGTGCTAAATATTTGTTGTTATACAAATCAGAATACTTTATTTATCCTGGGGGAGAATTGGGTTTCATGTTGCTCTATTTAGAATAAACAAAAAATATAAATAAGAACTTAAGAACTTAACCACATTGTACTACATAAAATACATATGTATATTCCAATATATACAGTTTTGTATTAATAAAGATATCAATGCTGGAAACCAGGTTATTGCTTTAAAGTGTTATGCAGTAATATTCCTAGTATTAGTGAATAATAAATGTATACAGAGAAATTCTCTGTATATGTATCTATACTGTATATATCTTTATTTTTGAATATATATTTTTTCTCTTAAAGGTTAATGTTGAATCTCATTCTAATCAATGTTCAGATTTGAAAAATATGAAATATAGCTTTTAAACATTACAACTTAAAATGCTTCATAGTCTTAACTTCTAACTAAAGCAAGATTTAATAGAATAATGTATTCTAAATTGATTTACACAAATGTATTGGTTATTGCTTTGCCTGATCAGGAATGGCTTTCTGTTGCAGGTTTGTTTGCGTACTCGTGTGGCTGCGTGGTGGTGGTGGAGTATCTTCACACAGGAAGTCAGAGACACCTGCAGTGCCACAGCGAGGAGATCTCTTGTCTCGCAGTCACACATGATGCACAGGTACGTTTAGTTCCACACTTCCCAGTTATTTGACAGTGATTGACTTAACAGGCGTCAGCCGGTAAGTTCAGCATGAAAGAAAATTGGCTACATTAGCTGGTTGACAATTCCATTCAGGCAATGCATTACACTGTCAGTCCATTCTCAACAGGGGACAAAAAAGGGCGTGTCTTCTCAGGAGAAAGATTGATTTTGACACTTTGATATACTGCTTGGTTTATTCAATGCTGTGGGAGCACTTTGTGTTCAGCACTTGCCATGGGAGGGTGTTACCACTCAGACTTCTTATAGAACAGAAGTTGACACTTTCGATGTGACTGATAACCATGGACCAGGGTTGTTAATGGCTACAAGGCTTAGTCATCGCAGTTTTAAAGCAAGTGGTTCTATTTAAATTGTCTGTGGGTTTCTAAAAGTCTTCTCAAAAGCTATTGGATCTAATGTCTGTGAGTGACATTTCCACAAAGTTTGGGCCCAAGAAGTCAAGGATTATGAAGCAGGCTTTCTCGTGTTCGGCATAGTTAGTCCTGAGTCTAATGGAGTTGTAATATAAATTGAAAGTGCTGTGTGTATGTTTTGCTTCCTGTTCAGACGGTGGCATCAGCAGCTGGAGGCAGTAACGCCAGCAGGAGCCTCATCTGCATTTGGGACGTCCAGAATGGAACCTGTCGGAGTACCATCTCCTACCACAGGGGGGCGGTGCAGAGTCTGGCCTTCTCAAGGGACGATCGCTTCTTTCTCTCTGTTGGTCAGTCAAATATGAATTAGATTGCATTCAACGGTCATGACCAAATAAAGTGGCAACCCTTAATATTGTAGTCCTGTTTTGATATGGAACAGGAAATGTAGTTGTGTACAACAGGTCCCAGAGTACCATGCATAAAATATAGAGTTCGGGAAGTTAGTTGCCTTTTTATAAATCATAACTGTCCAATGTGATTTTAATGCAGCAAATGGCTTCAGCAAAAGTAGTTAGTTACCTTGCAGCAAAGTTAGAGTACAATCAAATTGCATTTCCTGCGAGTAATTCATAGAAAAGTTTGACTTGTCTTCTTTCTGTCAGTTAAATTCTTAAAATGAGGACAATGTTTCAGCCATGGCCAACCACGTGACTCTGCTTCTACTGACCCCTGATTCTCGCCCCGTAGGAGACTTCTCTGAGCCAGAGGTGGCTCTGTGGAGCAGTAAGACCTTCCAGCTGCTGTCCAGTGTGAGTGTGTCGGGGCCGCTCCATGACGCAGCGTTCAGCCCCTCCGCAGCCGGCCAGCTGGCCTGCGTGGGCCGCCAGGGGGCTTTCTTCTGCCTGATCCACACACAGGGTTCAGATGTAGACCTCAAGGTAAAGGACCACAGAGAAAACATGATTCATAATTGATGATCCACGTTGTTGCCTTGAAAAGTGTTTTGAAACTATGTTTAATAGGGCTGCACAATTAATCAGCATTTTATTGAAATGTTTATATGGGCTAGTGCAATATGCAGTAAAGTATACAAATATCAGTATTGTTGATTGTGGTGTTGCATAGATGTCCCGGCCTACAAATCACATTCTAAAAACTTGATTAACTACCTTTGTTTGGTACGGATCCTCTAAATAAAACACACCATATCATTATAAATAAATTCAATGACAATAAGAATAATGATGCAAAAATTATCAATCCCTCCGTTATTTTTTAATCATATCACGATTGAAATCTCCGTTAAAAAAAATCACCATCAGTAATTCTTTCCATGTCGTGCAGCCCTAGCATAATACTTCAGAACTACATATTTGATTGGGTAAGTATTTGTTCTGTACTTTCATTGTTGGGTAATGATTGACATCTCCCTCACACCCGAAGGTGCAGAGGGTGAAAGCCCCCTCAGAGGTGGGCGAGGTGGAGCTGACGGCGCTGTGCTACCACACCGACTCCTTCCTGTTCACCGCCACCAATCGAGGACACGTTTGCGTCTGGGACGTAAACACGCAGCGCTGCTTCATGACCTGGGAGGCCGATGAGGGAGAGATTGGTACGAATAGACCTTTTGGTTTTTTCTAACCATTTAATTTGGATAACATAATCATTTTTTGCTGAATACTTTTTATTGTTCTTACAGTTAAAACATTCACAATAGTGTTTGACTACTAAACGTTTGCGTCGTTTATTAACACAGGGGAAAAATCTTACCCACAATTCCTTGGAAAATGTTCCTCTCAATGCAACTATGTTTCCATAGTTACACACTGACACTGTCCAACTGTTACTATGTCAGTGTGAAGCTAAAACATCAGGGAATAGAGGCTTGACTGCTATAGGATTCTGCTACAAAAGTACTGGGTGGAGTGGCGCAGCGGGCTGTGCGTTGATCATCAGATCAAGGTTCGAAACCCGCTGCGTCTGTAAAGCCGTTGTGTCCTTGGGCAAGACACTTCACCTGAATTTCCTCCTGTGGGTATTGTCCACAGTACATGACCGTTACATGTCTGATATGTGTGTAATCTGTGCATCTGTAAAGCGCTTTGAGCTCTGGAAAAGCGCTATAATAAATATAAGGAATTATTATTCAAAGTGTTATTCTCTTCAAGCTATTTCTGTTGTATTCATGGATTATTTATTTTTTTAAATGCCTAAAACATCACTTTTCGTCATTTTGAATTTTGTGGCTTACATTTGTTCTGGTCCGGGGTTTCTACCAGTTGTAATGGGATGATTTGGTGTCTTCATGTAGGAGTGCTGCTGTGTCGGGGGAACCATCTGTTGACGGGCAGCAACACCCGCTGGTTGCGTCTGTGGGAGGTAGAAGCTGTTCGGGGCGTGAAGCCTCAGGAAAAGGTCTGCAGCGGGGAAGACAGGTCTGTAGCTCAGCTTTATTCTTCCTGTGGAGATCCAGACCGTATACTTTTTTCTTTTGTGGCATGAATGCATTGATGCCGTCCGGATACAGTTTACACACACAGTGGGACACCTGCGTTGTTTCATTTCAGTCTATATAACATTTTGCATAAGGGCAATAATAACATAATGTTATAAGGTCATAATATATGTCTTTACCTACCATTGTACCTCATCATAATGGTAGGTGTTTTCCATTTGTTTGTTTCTTTGTAGCCTTTATTTAACCAGGTGAAAATCCCATTGAACTCAACGATCTCTTTTTGAAGCGAGGCCTGCAATTTGAGATACAATAACGGCACATTTAGGGTAATTCATGGAAAGATGGATGTTCCACTTCTCCCAAAATTCATTCAATGTAAAGTACCCGGAGCATCGTGAAGAAATGTGTTATTTCTTGTAATTGCTTTTGAGGTACTCACACTCAGTATGACAAATAAGTATTTATATTTGTGGATTTTGAATGTCAAAACCCAAAGTATATTTTGTACTATATATAGTGGTTTAATGCAGTTTTATGAGGCTTTTCCCTTCTGCTAGACCTGACTGATTGATGTTAATGATTAAACGAGCAAACAAAACAGTGGAAATACGGTTCCATTTCATCCTTAAGTGATGATGTCTGCCCATTGTTGTTGTTCTGTCCCTCAGTGGCACCTCAGTGGTGTTGGAGCAGGAGATAATGCTGGACGGGACGACGGTCAGCGCTGCGTTTGATACCTCGATGGACATGGGCATCGTTGGCACCACAGCGGGAACCCTCTGGTACATCAACTGGTCGGACTGCAGCAGCATCCGGCTGGTCAGCGGGCACAAGACCCAGGTATCAGGGAGAGATCTGTGAAACCATATGCACATCCTGTGTCTCCATACAGCTTATAACTGGGATTAGTGTGTGTTGTTCACCTTATTCCTTATAGTTTCATGGCATGGTCTGCATTAATATGACTGCTATAGCTATAATAGTACAAAATATATATATATTACAAATAGAGTATCAACCCCAATTCAAAACTGTTGCTGTGAGTAATGCTGAAATAGGAACTGCATATATTTTCTTAATCATTTTAAACCTAAAATCTGAGGTTTTTAGGTCTAAGTCTCAGTTTTACTGTCCACCACTTCAGCATACTTCAACAACCATGAGATGACTTCATGAAATTCTATATTAACATTCAGTCACTCCCCTGACTCTTCCTCTTGCGAAAAGTAGATTTTCATGGCTTTTATTCAAATCTAAAAACAATTATCGTAATGACATTCAGTCCAGATATATATTAAATATACAGACTAAATCTTATTGAGTTTGGTGAACCTCTGAAATCCAACGCCATCATTTGTTCAACATTTTTATTATCTGGCCAGATATCTACAAAAACAATTGGCATTTACACCAGCATGAGATGCTAAGTATCACATTCTAATTTAATTCAAAGCATTACTTTCTCATCACCAATCTTGTGACTTGATATTTGCCTAAACTATTGCCGTATTCTTTAAATACTGTACATGAAGGTGAATGTTAGTACCACTCATTCTGTATTTTCTGCTATGTGAAAATACTAATGTATGTAGTGGGAACCTGCATAAACAGCCTGTCAATCACACATAAAAGTGAGGATATGGGTATTTCATATTACAGGCAGATTGTAGCTCTTCAGAACATAGGGGTGTGAATCATGAAATCAAAGAAACAGCAGGGAAGCAATTACCAGCTGTTTCTGACATACCAATGTACTGATGGAAAAGCCACCAGCACGATGAACACCAATTTAATTACAATTGTTCCATTTCGAGCTTCCAGTTTTCTGTCCATGACGATGAAACTAAGTTTATATTTAGATGCGACTGAACACATTTAATTATTTGTGTGTGTGTGTGTGTGTGTGTGTGTGTGTGTGTGTGTGTGTGTGTGTGTGTGTGTGTGTGTGTGTGTGTGTGTGTGTGTGTGTGTGTGTGTGTGTGTGTTCTCTCCAGGTGAATGATGTGGTGTTCAGCTCTGACGAGAGACATTTTGCCACCTGCAGCGAGGACGGCAGTGTGAGGGTGTGGTCGGCGCCTAGCAACGAGCTGGTGGTGCAGTTCCAGGTGCTCAACCAGGTGAGGGAGTATTCTGAGTTAATGTATGGAAGGAGCTTGTTGCTTTTTAATGGGCACCTCCATGGAGGATCTAAGACTGTACATCTTTCCTTTTATTTTTTAAATAAATTCAATTCAATTATCTCTCAGGTAGAGATTAATGTTATATTAAGTGAAGGAATTACACTGATTGGCGGTCTCCCATTGTTTCTACTCCATAGCACATTTAAATATTGTGGTGAAACAAAAATATATTCTGATTTGATCATAACATTATTCAAATATTGCCCCCCTGTTCCTCTCTGTGCATCAGGCCTGTGGCTGTGTGTGCTGGAGCCCTTCTTCCAGCACAGAGAGTGCATGTGTGGCTGGAGGATACAGCGATGGGACTCTGAGGATCTTCAGGCTTTCCTCCTCAGAGATGGAGATGAAGCTGCATCCTCACCAAGTGGCCGTCACTGCCATCCAGTACTCAGCTGACGGTGAGAATTTACTGTACTGTATTTAATGTATTTCATTTGATGATTGTGCTACTGACTTTTGAGAGAAGAGCCATGCACCTACAGAGTGAAAACCGCCCTTTTCCACTTCACCTTGGCCAATTAACACAAATAATAAATACAATCTTGTAGCACTTGACTGATTTCAAACTATTGCACTACCTCTTAACATGGTTTGACTTATTTGAAGCTAATAACCCGAACCCCCCCTACAGGTCATGTGATCCTTTCAGCGGGGAAGAATGGTCTGGTGGCTGTCAGCAGCCCGATGAATGGAGCGACTATTCGTATAATCCGGGATCACAAAGGAGCCCCGATTACCACCATCCAGTGTGTGAATGAACAGGTGAGCGCACTGAATGAGAGCAAGTAATAAAGCTTGAACACTGCTCAACATGGCAGCCATCAGGAACACAGAGGGAGGTTAGAGTGGCCTCCGATTGGATACAAGTCAATCGAATAGGAAATATGATCCTGAGAGTTCACATTTTTTTTTCGGCACCTATCGTTTAAACACTACACTACTGGTTTTCAGTGGCGAACCGTGTCTATCACAACTGGACTTTCTGTAGACACACACACCCCCCGCCGCGCCCCCCCCTCATCTTCACTTGTTGCACTTGCCATTTCAACGTTAAAAACAATAAAACGGCATGAATTGCTTCATCACATTCATCTAGATCAGGGGTCGGCAACCCCATGCACGCGTGCCAGCATTGGCACGC